AACAAACACATTCAGTCAGAGAATAACTGCTGGAATCAGGCGGTTTTGCTGCTATGACGTCGTTTAAGAAGACCCGAGAGCTTTTAACAGGCTCTTATTTGGCCGACATCATTTCTGACGAAGAATTCGTGCTCCTCTCTGACTGCAGCTTTTCAAAGAACTTAGAATTACCGTATAAAGAGTACGAAAGATTTGACCTCGAAAAAATATGGCGCATTATTTCTTGGGTTTAGTTTAGTGTTTAAATCTGTTACTTTGAGAGGTAATGAGCGACGAGTACTTTCAGAGTAATCAATCACTCTTTGCAGGTTAACCATGAGTAACCTGGTGACATTAAACATCGATTCAAAAGCAGTGACCGTTCGTTGTTACAAAGAAATCAGTGGATGCGGTGATGGGGGATGGACGCCGGTCATGAAAATCGATGGCAACAAGGTTTAATTTTTTTTGTTTTTTAATGCCTGTTACTGTCTAACATAACGTCTTGTTCGTTATTATGTACAACAACCTTTTCATCGTATAAAATCAATCCTCGGTACCATCCAAAGTGAGAAGTAAACAGCACACAGCTTATGGATCAAGTATGTCTGTTTTATTTGATTACAACATTTGTTAGTTTATTTACTTATTCCTTTATGAATTCATTTATTTATTTATTTGCCCAAGCAATTATTCTTTTTCAGAATACCTTTCATTATGACTCACATCATTGGACTGATAAGAAGGAATACAACTCTCCAGACGGACAGACTGGGTTTGACAACAAGGAAACTAAGCTGCCGACTTACTGGAACACGCCTTTCTCTAAGATATGCCTTGGTATGAAAATTGGCAACCACACCAAGTTCATTGACATCAACAAGCAGGCCGACTCTCTGCACTCACTGATCGCTGATGGGAAATATCGCAACACGTCACTGGGTGGAGACACTTGGAAGGCGCTCATTGGTTCAAGGGGCTCCCTGCAGCCCCAATGTAACAGGGAAGGCTTTAATGCTGTGTCTGAAGGAAGTGATCATTCTAGAGCAAGAATCGGAATACTTGGTAACAATGAAGATGAGTGCAGAAGTTGTGATTCCAGAATTGGGTTCGGTACTGCGGGGATACCTGATAAGACTATCACGTGTGGAAATGCAGCCTCCGGGAGGTATGGGTCGGACAATGGAGAAAAAAAAATCACAGCAATGGGGTACATCTTGGTGCAGTAAAAAGGTACCACCGGGGAAAGATACCACAACGCAATAAAAAAATGTGACATTGATGGAACTTTAAACTCCCGTTACTCTTTACTATAGCTGTACGTGAGTCAGTTATTAATTAATGGCTGATTCATTAATTCAATCCATTTAAATTACCCAAAAAGCTTAATTTCTTCAAATGATCCAAACAACTCAAATGACATGAATTGCTTCAAATGACCCAATCATGGTCAATATTCTGTGGAGCCCCGGTTCAAATACGCCCTTCCGCGGATTTGGACCCTCAACAAAACTTAGTGAAAATATCGTTCCGAGCAAAAGAGCAGAGGGTTAAGGTCTAGGGTTCAAGGTTAGGACTCTATGATACGAAGGACGCTTAAAGGAAAGTTTGGTAGGTGGTTCAATTCTGCGAAGGGGTGTTTATATCCGCCTGCGGACTTGGACTGGGGGTTTAAATCCGCCAGCTCTGACATCGGAAAACGAGCTATACATTAGCGTTTCCCTAGAGCAAGAAAACAGTCGACGAAGATCGTGTTTTCTTGACGTTAACCATTAGTAATTCTGTGTGAAAACGCTCTGAAAATGCAGTGCTCTCGTTTTTACGAAAACTAAAAAAAGCTGCAGGAAAACAATGCAAGCTGTTTACAAGTGTTTCCACAGAGCACGAAAACAAGAGACGAACACCACATCTTTATTGCTTAATCACGATCATGAGTAAATCTGGGAGAACAGCATCGTTCGCGTGCTCAGGAAAATTAGAAGAAGACTTCAGTTTGAACAAGCTATACACTAGCGTTTCCACTAAGCTGAAAAAAAATCGACGAAGATCATGTTCTCATGCTATTAGTAATTCTCTAGGAATACGCTTGTAAAATGCAGCGATCGCGCGCTCGAGAAAACTAGAGAAAAACTTTCAGGAAAGGAAGGTATCACTAGCGTTTTCGTGGAGCAGGAAAATAATCGACGAAATCCTTGTTTTATGGCATTTTCCGTTCGCAATTCTGCAGGAAAACGCTAGACAAATGCAGCGCTGGCGCGCTCGGGAAAGTCATAGAATAACGCTAAGGAAAACCAGCTAGACTCTAGCGTTTTCGTGGAGCAGGAAAACAATCGACAAACATCATGTTTTTATGGCATTCGCCGTTGGTTATTCTGTGGGAAAACGCTCGGAAAATGCTGCGTTCGCACGCACGGAAAACTGTAGAAAACGTTTAGGAGAACAGGCTATTCTTTGGTAGTTTCCTAGTGCTGGATAACTTGTGATGAGCTTCGTGTTTTTCCTGTGTTTTACTGAGGGTGAGCAGTGAATTTGCCGTAAGTTTTCAGATATCGGAAAACGTTAGTTTAATGTTGAATTTCTCAGTCATTCCCCATTTCGGAAAATTAACGGTGAACGACGTTTTTTCCCTTGTAAAGAAATACCATACGTGTCATAGATTCAAGAATTTAGTTATCAAATGTTTTGAAACTTGGTCCTTTTCCTTATAATAAAACAGAGGGCAAAATTACTGAATGCTGATTGGTCAACGAAGAGGGTTTTTTTTCTTAATTTTGCTTGAGAAGAGGGCAAAATTACCAGCTCATGATTGGTACTCAGGTTGCCTAGCAACAGCGTATGCTATAGAAAAGTTGTTGCTGAAGATTTTCTGTAACAATGGCGTCTGGTTTCGAGATAGTTGACGAGGAATATATCGAAGAATTAAAAGACAGGAGTGAAAATGAAAACACGAGGAAAAGTACGGAGTACTGGAAGAACGTTTTCAAAAAGTGGGCGAATGAAAGAAACTTCCAAGCAAATTTAGAAGAGTACTATACGAGAGCGAGGTCCTCGACCGAACGCTGGCGCAGTTTTATGCCAAGTTACGAAAAGAAAACGGGGATGAATATGAACCCGACTGCCTGAAAGTAATGCCGGCATCACAGCAGAGATATTTATAACCAAAAGGCCATCCAAAGTCCGGGTATCTTTGTGCAAAAATAAAATTTCATTCAGCTCATTCGTACGTTTGTGGCCATTGATTCTCTGTCAACTTTAAATGGCTTCCTATGACTGATTACTGAAGAGCGCATTCGGAAATTCAGTAGTTTTCCCCTTAATTTCATTAACAAGTAATCGCAATGGGTCCTGGTAAAATTAAGGATTAATATCACTTGTGTTTTCAGAAGTTGCTTCAGAAGCTTCAGAGGTTTCAGAAGTTGTGTTTTCAGAAGTTGCTCGTCGCTTCGCGACTTGGGCAATTTCAGCAAATTCTGAAAACACAAGTGATATTAATCCTTAATTTTACTCGGCCCCATGCGATTACCTATACTAATCAGCAACAAAAGTTAGATCTTTTAAAATAAGGTATTTGATCAAATTTCCGTTGATGTTAAACTTTAAGCTTAAAATGTCTAGGGCTACTGTTGAGCATACTATAAGTAATTCTGTTGTTATATGATATTTTTGAGATTGGCGAAACTTAACGTAGTGTGTTTAACTAAGACGACGATCGAGTTAAAATAATGTACACCTTAAGGTAGCCCGGTTCCGGGTACGGGTACGGGTAGGATTAACAGTACACGTACTCGGTTACACGGGAAACCAATCAAACTAAAGATACACCGCTTCATTAACGATGTAACCTTGATGAAAAAAATCAAAGAAAGGAAGAAATTACTAGAACTTCACTTTCCAAACTTCACCTAATAAATACAAAAGAGCGGTTGGGTTTGACCAGAAATCCCATCAGATTGCAAAACACATGCAAACCAAAGGAAGCCCAACAAAGATACTAGGTGCAGGAGAGGAGAATGAATAACTGTTCATCAATCAAGGAAAAAAAAATTATAGAGGCAAATTGATTCAATATAGACTTCCCGGCCGGATGACACCAGGTACGATCTGGACAAAAATGCTGCACAAAAGACTGGCCTCACAGCAACAACCTCTCTTGCAAGGTCTATATCTTGTTTCATATGCCATATGAACATCGTTTGAAATAAGCCGAAAACGTTTTTCTATTACATTTAATTGACTTTTTTTTCTCTTTTCTTACAATATGCAAAAAATATGCCCTCGGCTCTAAAATGGAAGAAGCCTCGTTTACTACCAAAACGTTTTAGTCAAGAAGTATCCTTTCAAGTCAACATAAAGTGTGTAATTTGAATGTAGGTTTTTTTCTTCGTGGTTCATGACCTGTTGTATTTTAAATCTATTTTAAATATGTCTCAACTAAAACTTCGCAAAGAGACTACACCTCAGTTATCGCATGTTTTGGAAAGCAGCAAGACCTTTTGAGAGGCAAAAATTTCTTCGTATTTGTGCCTCAACAAAAAACGATTCAAATCAGAAAAACAAGTCAGTTTATGCAAGAATCTGGATACCATTCTGGTCTGATAAGCAACGATAAAGGCACTGAAAACTTACCCGTTTCTTTATTTTTACTGGGCACGAACTCACTTGTAGACCACTGATTACCCCAGGAAAACGTGTAGCTTTTACGGGAAGGACGTGATCACGTGATCATTTAATGAAATCAAAATGGCGCTAGCCTTACTCGTGCGTGAAAATCAGGGTATCTCAAGGTGTCTATTATTTTGTATTGTATGGTAAGTGCTAAGCTAGTGCTGCGTTAATTCTGTGATAATTTGAATTTGCATTTGGTTCCTGAAATGTAAAGAGTAGTTAGACATTTTCTAAACAACTGTTGATTTATATGACAAGTAGCTGAGCTTAGAAACGGTAACAGCCTACAAAATAACACTTGGAGCAGCAATGCGAAGTCAAAACACAAAGCAAGGCTAATTATGTAAAAAAATGCGAATAAAGATGAAAATGTTTCTTGAAATGAACAATCTTCCATAGCAGCTCTCCCTCTTGGTATGTGTTTATAAACAGTCGGTCACTCTCGACAAAACTAAATGTCTCCACATGATAAAGAAAGTATATTCGCATTATTATTCCTCCCATCCCCCATTTATTAATTCAGGATTTTCTTCGTAGTTTCTCGATTAACTCTTTGTTTTTAAGGTTTTTAACAGCGCAGGCCATATCTTCAGAATACCAGCTGAGGTCTGCAAACAGAAACGTAGATAACTTAGCGTTGGTGCACCCCTTATCTTTTTCGATAAAAACTAATTGTTTTGTTTTTCAATGATAATAGGACTCAGTGAAGTCCAACTCCGTCTGTAATCATTACAGTGACAACAAAATCGGAGTTCCTTACAGGGGGAGTCTGAATTGTTTACCACAGATCTTATTACTAAGCAATCATCAAAATTACAATTTCCGAGAAAAGAAAAATAGCCAAGTTACGTAAGAAAGAACCAATCTGAATTTAAAAAGGGGTGTGATTGGTTGTTTTAAACTAAAGCTTTGAAATTGTTTGGCTTATTGAACGGTCCGATAACAAACTATCCGATAACAAATTGGCAAGTGAGTTAGTAAAAATTATGAGTATTTTGAACCAATCCCAATTAAGGAAATTGTAATATTTCTGGTTACAAGTGGAAGCCTTTTAAGCGTGCTATCACCCTCAGCCCCAAAGTCATTCAGAGGATTGCATTTCAACTATTTGACTGTTGGTTTCGAAATGTATACCCGAATTTCCGTTTACTGGGTAACTCTTCGGGCATGGACCTCAACCTTGATAGCCATTGACCCCGTAAGTTATTGAGCTAAGTTAGGTGCAAATTTTATTTTCGGAAGGAGAAAGGACGCTTTCTAACAAGCTTCTTTCTTAACAGATGTGAATTGCAAAACAGGAAATGGGTCTTGTGGTCTCAGTAGAAGCGCGCGTGGACCGGTAGAAGCGCGCGATTTTATGTTAAGTTCAGACAATTCTTTTGGAATATTTTTTCCCCACAATTATCTCAAAATGCATGTATACATTACGACGTTAATTTAACCCATATCATTTGTTTTCCTTAATTAAGCATCTTTGCTCAATGAAGAAATTTTGGTGTTCGCCATGTCAGGATTTGTGGGTCCCAAAGTCATTTCTCCGTCAGGAACTTCCTTCATTGTTTCC